AAAATTATTTTCCAGCGACTAGGACTCCTATTTTGCGAAAGGAGATATGCGGTATTAAGCAGATGGGTGGAGAACCTTTGTATGAATACCGAGAAAGATTCAAGAAACTATGTCAAGTTTTTCCACATCATCAGTACACTGAAGTGCAGCTTATTCAATATTTCCATGAAGGTTTACAACCAGTTGATAGAGTGATGCTTGATGTTGCGAGTGGTGGAGCTCTCATTGACAAGACACCAGCAGACGCGTGGAGATTGATTAATATTGTTGCTGCTAACTCTCATCAGTTTGGAACAAGGCAAGATGCAAAAGTTAAGAAGGTCAATGAAGTTGGGAGTACACACCTTGAGCAACAAATTGCTACAACAAATCAATAGTTGTCCCAACTCACCACCTTGATGATGGCTCAGATGAATATGCAGCAACCAAAAATAGTTTGTGGTCTTTGTTCTTTTAAGGAACACTTCACAAATAACTGCCCATCACTGCTTCCAGGATGAGTTGCTGAAGCTAATGCACTTGGATTCCCAAATTCTTCCCAACGCAAATATGATCCTTACTCGAACACATATAACCCAGGGTGGAAAAACCATCCAAATATGAGTTATGTGAAAGGAAACAATCAGATGTTTTCATCTCAGCCAAATCCTAATGAAACCTCGAACTCCACAATGGAGAGCATGATGCAAAAATTAGTGGATGGGCAGTTGAAGTTAGAGCAGGAGAAGTTGAAATTTGAGCAAGAGACTAGAGTCAGAATGCAACACTTGAGGACACAAGTAGGCCATCATACTACATCAATAAGCAGACACGAGTCCAGACTCTCCAATAAACTTCCTTCACAGTCTAGGACAACAAACGAAAGTGCTAATGCAGTCTTCGTAGTGGCAAGACTGTTGAGGACTTGTCGTAAGGTCCAAAACAAATTAAAAATTTATAAATTATCATTGGCTAACCCCCAATATATAATCTGTAACACCCTAATCCGTCCAGGTTTGCAGCCCCATTCAGACTAAAGTATTTAACTTGGTAATCGTAAAATTTAAAACTTTTCAAACACACTTTATTAATCTCAATAATATTTTTCATAACATATACAGTACGGAGTATTTGACAATATTGCGGAAGCGAATTTAATATTGACATATCATAAATTATTTCAAAACCTGTCACATCCATCCTGACAATCTCGCCCCATCTGCCGCCAGGATCACATTAATCTTTCTGTTTACCTGCGTGTAGCAAATAAAACACACTACACGCTCAGCGGTGAAGCTGAGTAAGCATATCTAAAGCGTCGAACATCCACATAAATTGAATCTCAATTCATAATCAACCATTTGATATCATGCACACAATATATGGTTCAAACATTCATAATATTTTCAATATTTTATTCCAAGTCATTTGATATTCAATATAT